AACTCAAATATAGATATTTATTATTTTGCATGTTAAGAAGTTCTAAACTCAAGTTTCTTAGGTTGACTCACTCAGCAGCTAAATGATCTCTCAGGCACCCAGAATATCAGCTTCCTGCTCTGCCATCCTGAGAGTATTGCCTCGGTTCCTCTGGCTACCTTCTCCCATCATCCCGAATTGAGCAGCATGGTTCCTGGCATCACAACTGCTAACAAAGTCCAGTGTGATAAAAGGAAGGGTCTCCTTTTTTGTATCACCTTTCATCATTGAGTAGATATTTCCCAAAATGTCCCCAGCAGAATTTCCCTCACTTCTCACTTTCACCTCCTATGGCTGAAATGGAAGACAAACCTTCCCTGAAGCCCATGGGTATTGTATTAGTCAGGGTTCTCCAGAGAAACAGAACTGATAGGATGCGTGTATAGATATACATAGAAAGAGATTTATTTTAAGGAATTGGCTTATGAGGTTTTGGAGTCTGGCAAGTCTAAAATCTGCAGGATGGGCTGGCAGGCTGGAGACCCAACAAGAGCTGATGCTGCAGTTCAGGGTCTAAAGCCATCTGCTGGCAGAATTTCCTCTCACTGAGAGAAGGCCAGTCTTTTGTTCCACTCACACATTCAACAGATTGGATGAGACCCACCCATATTATAGGGTGAAATCTGCTTTACTCAAGTTCTAGTGATTGAAATATTAATCTCATCCAAATCACTCTCACAGAAACATCAAGAATAATGCTTGGCCACATATCTGGACACCATGGCCCAGCCATGTTAACACCTGAAATTAACCACTATGCTACAGAAGTCTTCATCAAAATCATGGAAGAAATGATGGGGATAGAGGAGTGGGATAGAGGAGTGGCTACAGGAGGCCAAAGATGATTTATCCCTAAAAGACACACCCATTGGTTATAGTGCTTAAATTTGAAGGCTCAATGACAATACTAAAGTAGAAAGAAAATGCTACCTTCTAAATAAAGCTCAGATAAATCAAAGTTGACACTGGCATAAGGCTCCTGATAAAGAGGTGATTTAGGTCATGCCCAACTTGGGAAGCTAAATTGTCTTCAAAAACAAGTCTTGAAATTTTCTTTTATTATATGGAGGTTGATTCATTGCCCATTTTACAAAATCTTTCTTCAAACACAATGAAAATTAAATGATAGTGCATTTCATCATTTGCTAGTGCCACCAGGAGACTTAGGTTCAGTTTCACTCAGTAATCACATTCACTCTAATTGTTGTATTACCCTACTAAGAGCATTTGAGAGGCAGCATAGGATAGTAGTTAAAGTACAGATTGTGAAACCAAATCTCTGGGGCTTTGATTCTAGTTTGCACTTAACAAATGAGTAAGCTTGAGAAAGTTATTTGGCCTCTCTGCTTCAATTTTCTCATAAAAATATTGTGTATTAATGTAAAATAAGTGAACACAGAAGCATTTAGAACACAGCCTAACACTTTTGTATAAAATGTGTTTCATATTATCTCCCGTATAAAACTTTTACTTTGTAAATTGGGCTATACTTATTATTTAAAGCAACATCACAATCTTCTAGTCTCTCCAGAGACTGAACCCTCATTTATCTTTGGGTGTAGAGAAAAGAGAGCTGTCTCAAGATGAACAGGGGACTATACACAGGAAAGTGAAGTAACTGCCTTTAGAGAGCAAAGGGAGCAAGTTTTTAAGAGGAAGAGAAGCTGCAGGCAATTGATGTGGGAGACAAAATAATCCTTTGGTTCCAAAAATGAATTAAAAATAAAGAACGGTTTTAGCACCCAAACAGCAAAGAAATGAAAAATGATTTCTTAAAATTATGCATTTGTTATTTACTGCTGCACAACATTACAACAAACATAGTGCCTGTAACAGGACACTTTTATTATCTCACAATTTCTGCAGGCCAGGAGTACAGGAATGACTTGGCTGGGCCCTCTGCTGCAGGATCTCACAGGGCTTCGAGACAGGTGTCAGCCAGGGCTGCAGTCTCATCTGAAGCTCAAGAGGGAAGTGATCTTTCTCAGCTTATGTGGTTGTTGGCAACATTTCAGTATCTTGTGCTACCACAGTGAGGGCCTTCATTGCTTGTTAGTTGTCTGCTAGAGGTTGCTGTCCCCTTGCCATGTGGCTTCTCTGCAAGGCAGCTCACAATATGGCATCATGCTTCTTCAAAGCCAGTAAAGGAGACAATTTGAAAGCCCTAGCAAGATGAGAGGTACAATCTTATGTAAGTACTTGCCTATCATCACATATGTCTTGTCACGTTGGCTGTATTCTCTTGGATAGAGGTCATGGGTCCTGAAGAGGAAAGGTTTACATAGAGCATGAATACCAGGAGACAAGGATCATGGGGCACCATAGAGTCTACCTGCCTCAGATATTTAAAACTTTCTTCTCTTCAACAATTCAATTACATAAGGGTCATGTTGCCATTTCTTCTTGGCCACTGGAAGCCCAGAGTGAAATTTTTGATTCAGCTTTAGTGATGCATATAAGGCCAAATAGTCTGTATATCTGCAGTGAAAATATCCCCCTGATATTGACCTTTCTTATAAACAGACGTTTACTGTACTGTTGTCATTAATGTATACCCTTTTTATCCATTTATTTTAAAATGTTTCTATAATTTTGTAAATATTCTGTAGCACGAGTTATGGAATAAATAAGTATATCACAGGGTTCTGTTAAAAAGAGTAGCTCGGCTTCGGAAAGTTGTGACATCACAATGCTTTGTCACCTTTTTTGGTTTTCTTCATTGGAATTCCAGATATCCCCTACATGAAAACAGGCTTCCACCCCTCACCTAGATGCCACTACTGACCACCCTAATTAAAGCACAAATCATCCCATTCAATTACTTTACTAAATCAGTAACATTTTCATTTAATCAACAAAAATTTCCTCTTCTATTTGACTCATAAAAGTACTCTCCTAACACCTAAGCTAAGAAAATCAATGTCAAAAATATGATGCTGGCTGGGCATGGTGGCTCACGCCTGTAATCCCAGCACTTTGGGAGACTGAGGAGGGCGGATCACAAGGTCAGGAGATCAAGACCATCTGGGCCGACATGGTGAACCCTGGTCTCTACTAAAAATACCAAAAGAAATTAGCTGGGCGTGGCAGCGCATGCCTGTAGTCCCAGCTACTCGGGAGGCTGAGGCAGGATAATTGCTTGAACCCAGGAGGCGGAGATTGCAGTGAGCCAAGATCGCGCCACTGCACTACAGCCTGGGTGACAGTGTGAGACTCCGTCTCAAAAAAAAAAAAAAAAAAAAAAAAGAATGATGCTATCACAATTTAGAATTCATATGAAAAGTGAGTTGTAGTATGGATGCTATAAGCATGTGCATAAAGCAGGAAGGGAAGGGAAATGACACCGTTTTAGATAAACATTACTTTGAACTAACTTCCATGACATATGAAGCACTTTAGAATTTCTTAATTTTTGCCAATATTAGTATATCATCTTTTAAAGTACTTTTGTGTTAACTTTATCAAGCATTTTTTTAAAATTTTATTTTATAAAGCATATTTTTACCTCATGCTGTCCATGTGTTTTATTCAAATCATAAGACTAAAACAAAAGAATAATATCTTTCAAGTCACCTATCATTTTTCTGTCAACTCTTTTCAGCAGTTTTTGTTTCCTGGTGAATAATAATTTCATGCAACAAGAAAATAAGAAAAACTTAGAGATACTTTCTACATTTTTCTCAGCTTTCTAAAAAAATTAACACACTAATTCTTTTCTGCTATTAACTTTACTTACTCATAGAATTAAATTATACTCCTTGATGTTCAGTGTTAAGTAAGAGCTGTGTTTGATAATGGTGATTACAATCTTCTCTAGGGAGATTAGTCAGTTGTATGCATTGTTTAACCTCACTTTACACCAAGGTAGATTAAATTCTCTTGTTTTTGGTAAATGACAGTTTCTTAATAGACAACAACCCACTTCCTAAGGCCACATGTGATGCAAGCACTCTAATTCATAACAGGGTAGCTGGTCCAGTAGTATGCAGGGAATGTTCTTTAGAGTGGCCCTGTAATTTTAAGAGGGAAGAGTTATGTGGATAATAAATCTAGATTCTTTTTTTTTTTTGAGCACCTACTGGTCAATAAACAACATTTATTGAACCACTAGACTCCTAGTCCAGTGCTCTTCAGGACCCTGGAGGACCCTCTGCAATTCGGTCTGAGACTCCAGTCAGCAGCTGGAACCTTCTCGTCCAGGAGACTGTCCAGGTGAGGGGCTTAGTGGTGAGGGCAGACCCCGTCAGCCCACTTGCCAGCCTGCAATGCCACCACCATCCTGTGGTCCAGAGACACAGAAGAGGTAGGATGGTTCTGGGGCGCAGTGCTCACGGGTGGGGCAGGACGGGGGCCCAGTCAGCCGTGTCCGTCTTTTTTTTTTTTTTTAGACAGAGTCTTGCTCTGTTGCCCAGGCTGGAGTGCAGTGGCATAATCTCAGCTCACTGCAACCTTTGCCTCCCAGGTGTAAGCGATTCTCTGGCCTCAGCTTCCTGAGTAGTGGGGATTATAGGCATCTGCCACTATGCCTGGCTAATTTTTGTATTTTAGTAGAGAAGGGGCATCTCACCATGTTGGCCAGGCTCCCGAACTCCCGGCCTCAAGTGATCCACCCACCTTGGCCTCCCAAAGTGCTGGAATTACAGACGTGAGCCACCGTGTCTGGTCCATCTTGTTTGTTTGTTTGTTTTGAGATGGGGTCTCCCTCTGTTGCCCAGGCTGGAGTGCAGTGGCATGGTCTCAGCTCACTGCAACCTCTGCCTCCTGGGTTCAAGCAATTCTCTGCCTCAGCCTCCTGAGTAGCTGGGATTACAGGTGCCCACCACCACGCCTGGCTAATTTTTTATATTTTTGGTAGAGATGGGGTTTCACTATCTTGGCGAGGTTGGTCTTGAACTCCTGACCTCATGATCCACCTGCCTTGGCCTCCCAAAGTGCTGGGATTACAGGTGTGAGCCACCGTGCCCGGCCCCATCTTAGGTTTTTAATAAATAGTTCTTGCTATTAATTTAAGAAAGATGTTCAGAAAAAAAAAAAAAGTTCTTGCTGCTGCTCAGGCTGGTGAGGGTGGGGCCATGGGGCCCAGGCTTCCCCAGCTCGAGGGGTATGGGGTGCCCCCTTCTCATGCCAGTTCAGGCTCTGGCTCAGCCTCAGCCTCATCACCCTTGGCATCCGGCTCCTGCCACCAGTCAGCATAGATGCTCTTCTCGTAGTCACCCTCCCCCTCAAACTCGGTGTCAGATGGGGCATCCTCCGGCTCGAGGGGTGGTTCTGTCTCCTCCAGTTCCATCTCATCATCTGACTGCAGGTACATGTGGGTGAACTCCAGCAGCTCCCGCAGCTCGGAGGTCTGGTTGTGGTAGAGCATGGCCTCCTCCCGGGGCTGGAAGTCCTCCTCTTCCAGGCCCCAGCGAGCCCGGTGGAAGCGGTAATACACCAGGTTCTGCTGCATGACGCTGTCCTTGGGGTCGAAGAGCATGTTCCTGGCGGCGCTGCGGGCAGCCTGGCGCACATCATTCAACTTGTAGTAGGCAAACTGCAGGTAGTGGTACACGGTGGCCACGAACTTGTCCACGAAGTAGCCGCCCACATTGGGGGTCAAATTGGCCTCACAGTCCACCTTGCACTGCAGGGACTCTGCAAAGAGATCTGCGATGGCCGGGTAGAAGTCCCTGAAGTCCACCTGCTCTTGGGCCCCTTCACAGCCGGCCAGACACCGGGCAAAGACCGCCAGGTACTCTGCCAGGGCCCGCTCCATGTCCTCCGTGCTGCTGCAGAAATCCCCGCTGTTGCAGAGCTTCACAGCCCGGAGGAACACAGCCTCGTAGGGCTGGGCCTCTAGGTCCATGAGGGACTCGTCGGCGACGTGGAGCATCCCCCGGTAGCAGCTGAGATACTTGGCGGTCAGCTCGTGCTTCGGGTTCCTCTGGAGGAAGGTGTAGGCCGCCGCCACCGCCTCCTGCAGCCGGTTAGCCTTGAAAGCGCGTAGTGCAGTTACTGGTAGGGCAGGCGGCGCGCTCCGGGACGCGGCCGAAGAGCCGCAGCTCGCGGGCCCACTCGTCCGCGCGGCCGCCGTCGGGACCGGGCGTGGGCGCGGGCGCGGGCCCGCCGCAGTGGGCGTGGCAGAAGGCATCGCTGTCGCGCAGCAGCCGGCGCAGCCGCAGCGCCGCCTCCAGGTAGCGCGCGCTCTCGCGCCACTCGCGCCCTGGTACTGCTCCAGCGCGTGCCCGCAGGCGGCGGCCGGCGGCATCAGGTCCTCGTGCGGGACGCCCGGGAAGCTGTGCTTCTCCTGCTGCGCCCCGACGCTGCCCAGCAGCAGCCACAGCAGCCCCCACGCCGCCCGAGCCAGGCCCGCCGCGCCGCCGGCTCTCCCGAGGTGAGCTGGCCGCTAGATTCTTTTTAGAGAGGAGAAAGGACACCACAGTGCTGCCTCAGAGGGCCAGGAACAGTGTGGGCAAGAGGGTCAGTCTACAATAAACCCAGACATGCCTGCTTGGGAGAGTTAATCTCGCTTCCTGCACTTCACATGGGACTATTTGTCAGCAGATTGGTTTCTGTACATTATAACTCTCATATTCAGGAAGAAGAGAATTGGCCAAACCAGTAATATAAATGCATTGCATTCTCTGCCCTCCCTCTTTGTGATTAATTCTACCGGTGGTACAAATGTGCATGAATGAATGAATGTCAGTGTGTTTTCTGCCCTGAACATTTCCTGCTGCCTTTAGTTCAGCCCTGCTGACATTTATTACAAATAATAGCTAAATATTCCTGATTTAATAGCTGCAGTGGCCCCACATCTGAAGGTGATGCCTGTAATAAAAGCACACAAGATAAGCTTATAACAAAATTAATCAGATTGTGTTTGCACACATAATAGATAAGCCTCACAGATATACCCACAAAATGTAATGGTTGTTTTTTAAATGCAGCGGCTTGAAGTCACAGTTCAAGAACATATTGGTTGCTTTACTTCCTTTTCATTTCTCTTCTTTCTTTATCTTCTTCAAGTACTCAAGGCCTCTGCACATGATCAAATTGAATATTATTCCGTTTTCTCATCTGGAAAAATGGGACACTTAAACACAGAAGACTGACTGTGTCCTTTTATTCATCTTTTGTTACTCCTTCTAAACAAAGGCCATTGTCCCCTGATAAATTCCATTTGCTGCCTCTTATTCAAAGGTAGTTTATACACCAGCTATGGCGATTCTCACACAAGGCGGTTACTGGCAAAGATACAAATAACTTTCAAAATTCTTTCAACCTGTTGACCCAAGTGTCCCTTCTGAAAGATATAAACTCACCTCCCACACCTTTTACAATTGATAAAGGAGACTATAAAACCTGAGATTACAAAAACAAGGCACACAGTGCCTACTAAAAGCAGGGTTTTAAAGCCTTTGGGAATAAAAGATTCTTTCTCTTTATCCTACTCAAACTTCACAAGCCACCATATAAAAATTGAAGGACAAAATAGCGTTGTCTTTACCTTGACATTTAAACACTTAGGAATTTTACTTAGTTGGCATTAATTGTAAATAGCTTTATGAAAATGCAACTCTTTAAACATTTTTCAAGTTTTCTTTCCAGAGTAGACTGTGCAGAAGATTGTACTTAGAGGTGATTACAGGCACTGAATTTTAAAAAAAAAATTCCATTGAAACTATCTGATTGGCAGACACTTCCTGTGGTGCATAAACTATTTGACACTTGAGAGCAAAAGTCTTAATCACAAATTGTGTTAAAATCTTTTACAGTATGAACCAAAAAAAAAAAAAAAAACCCAAAAACATAACATGAAGCTTAAGCATCCTGGACTTAGGCAGGGCTAGGACTAGACTATTTTGCTGGATGTCCAACATCATGTCCTACTCACAGATCCACCTTAGGATGCCCCACGTCATAGCTTCCAACTTGTGTCCTCCTCTCATCCTCCTCTGATCCGTCTGACAGGCCATAAGGCAGTTAATAGGAGTCTAGGGTCACTGGGGCTTCTTCTGAAATTCTGCCTTTGAACTTCTGCCGCTAATATCTGAGCACCTGAGTATCCAACAATGGTTCCATGTGAATCAAAATAACAGAAAGATTCAAGATAAATTGTATTATTTTTATATTGAGAAAGAAATGTGAACTACCTACCTTATCACCTTGCTTGGCATAGACTCTCAATCAGATTTTGTTTGTTCATTGTGACCTTCAAGAGAAGCAGAAAGGTAGGTATAATGTATTTACATTGACCAGGCATTTCCACATGAATCTTAGATTTAGAGAATGTTAGACCTAGGAAAAAATTATAGAGATCATTGTCTTTCTACAGATGAAGACACTGAAGCCCAGGAATTTGAAGTGACTTGCCAAAAGTCCCATCACGAACTGGGTCATCGTTTTTACTGTACTCCCTGTCTTAAGCCCTGGAAAAGTGCTTCCTCCATCACACTATTCCCCGTTCAGTTCATCTTATTTGTTCTCTTCTGGTTCAGGACAAGAAATCATTGTTACTTGCTTCCTCTGTCCTGAGCTGCAAAGTTTATTCAATGGGTTTTCTGGATTCTCAATCTATTAGATGCATTTGGCAAAATTATGGCCCATGTCTGGTTTTGTCTCTGTGGTAATGTGGTTCAGAATAAACTCGATGGTGCCATTGGCTTTTAGCATATCCTTTTCCCCTAAGAATAAGAAACCTTACTCAGAATGAAAAAAGAATGACTTTATATGCATTTCTTCATTGCTAATTGTGACCTTTCCACGGCTAATCATTAGTAGTCAGGGATTTCGGTTGCTAACTTCATATCCTTGCACTGTTTTTCTCCCACTTTCATCTCTAGCAGTTCTGCTCCTTCCAGAGATCCAGTTCATATGTGTAGTACACTGTGTTCAGGCTTCCCTGTCTTCCACCGCTGGCCTTCACATATATTCAACTTCACCTAAATGTTCATTATGGTTCTAGGTGCGTCTTACAGAAATCTACTTTAGCATCTGTACCCTTCCTATGCCCTGGGCTGGAAATGCCATTTCCCTAGAGTATTTCCGTTCTGTTCAGATACTATCTCTTCTTTGAACCTTTTCCTAAATACCAAGCCATGTCCACTTTCTTTCTACTCCAAACACCTAATGCCCTTCTTGTCACTTCTGTTTTCACAGCACTTATATAGGGGCCTCCCTGTATTACGGTTATGTGCACCAGGGGCTCTAGACCATGTCTTTTATAATTCACCTTTATACTGCACACCACACAGCACAGGGCCTTACTCTTCACTGGAAAAATAATTACAGAGATAAATAGATAATTAGTATTTATTACCCAGAAGCCATATAATTTAACCCTTCTCAAAAATATTTCTTGTATCATAAAAACAATACATATTTGTAGTTCCATGTTAACTAAAAAGAAGCTTAAAGTACTTCAGTGCCCTAACAGCTATATGAAAACTGAAGAGAAAGCACAATTAATTTTATACTCCGCCATACACTCTATCTAGCAGAAGTGGTGTGCCTAAAACCAGGAGGTTAAATGAGGGACGCAGGAATCATAGGCAGGTAACCTAAGGACTGACTCAGCCAAGGAGCACAGGAAGTCTGGTGTGATAGATAGTCATCTAGCGGTACTGCTTTTGTTAAATACACACACCAGGTCAGCTAGAAGGCCAACACGCTATCCGTTACAGCACAGAGAGAGCATACAGGTCTGATCTGAGGTACCCTCAGTTGAGAGTGGACCAAAAAGAGAACCAACACCCCAACTCTCCTTCCAAACATCGCTAGCTGGATGGTCCCAAAGAAGCCAGGAGGTCAGGTAGTAAGAAGGGACAAGCATTCAGATGCTTCAAAATCTAGTATCTACAGGCAGGGTCAGAATTCTGGAGAAATTCTAAGGAGCTGAGATTATTCCAGCAAAAGAATCAAAAAAATCACACTGCAACAATTTCTAAAGTTTAGGTTACAAAAACTCTGCACCCCGGCAACAGATCAAATTTCGATAGGCAAATAACAAAGAAAGAGAAAAGAACACTGCCATTAGACAAAAGGAAAAGTTGTGCAACCAGGGCTCAGAAGCAAGTTGTGTTGGGCATGGAGTCTGTCTTTATTCTCAGCGTTTTCCTTAGTTGCTCATGATAGAAATGCAGGTGCTACAGAGGACCCACGAACCCTTACACCCTCTGTAGAATCAGTTATTACTCTCATATTTAGCCAAGAAACTACTGACTTGGACAGTAAACAATGCGCAGGACTTTTTCGGAGGCAGTTCACCTTCCTGTAAAGCAGTTATCCAAACTCATGCTTCTCAAACTTTAGTGTGCTTAGGAATCCCCTGGAGATCAGATTACATTGCCGGTCTGATTCAGTCAGGCTAAAAGGGACCTGAAATTCTGCACTGTGGGCAAGCACTCATGCTGCATGCTGGTTCGTAGGCCAGAATTTCAGTAAGGAGGCCCTAAACAACCGAAACTGGAGCCCGACATATAGAACAGTCATATTTTAAAATGATAGCCTAATATTTAAATTAAGTAATATACATACATTTAACACATACTGTATAATGTAAATGTTATATTATCTGCAAAAATACGTTACTTCAGACCTCAGACTATATATCGTTACATTCCCTTGCCACCACATAACAAAAACTTTGACTCATTTGTTTCCCTTATTTATCTCTTGCCCTTGTCTGCTTACATTCTTCTTAACAGGTTCCAAATGAGAAATATTCACTTCACATGTTTTAATTACCTGAAGTCTTCTTTTTTTTATTGAATATCAACAGCAAAGTAGCATTTTGTGTTAACCTTTCAAAATGTCCAACTTAATTTATGAATACAATATTTTTTCAGCTCAGTGTGTATAGATGATGCATAGTGTTTCACACTGCCTTCATGAAAAGACCATTTTGATTGTAAGTACCCCGCAGAAATGTGCCTGGGATGGCGAACTGTGAGAGTTCATGAACAGAACTGCCCACAGTTTGTTGGAAGACCTCATGGCATCTACAAAGCAATTGTATCTGTGGTATATAAGGCATTCTCTCAACTGCTGGGGAAATTTGTTTTGACTTCACATTAGGATTAAATCAGTTATGCAATATTCCAGAATGCCTCCCTTTATTTTATTTTATTTTATTTATTTTTTCCTACAGAGTCTCACTCTGTTGCCCAGGCTGGAGTGCCGTGGTGCAATCTTGGCTCACTACAACCTCTGCCTCCTCCTCAGCCTCCTGAGTAGCTGGGACTACAGGTGCACACCACCGCACCTGGCTAATGTTTTATATTTTTAGCAGAGATGGTGTTTCACCATGTTAGCCAGGATGCTCTCAATCTCCTGACCTCGTGATTTGGCTGCCTCAGCCTCCCAAAGTGCTGGGATTAGAGGCATGATCCATTGCACCCAGCCCGTGTTTCCAGTTTTTATAACATTAGAATGTGATGGACTTATTGGTCCCAGTTCCCAGGAACAGGGTAAGCAGAACACTTTCTTTTTGTTTTTAATTATCTTTTTTTTGGCTGGGCATAGTGGCTCATAGCAACATAGCAAAACCTAAAACCAAAATGTAATTTGAAATTCAAGAAAGAGGTGTAGAAAATAAGTCACCAATTTCTCAAAAAACACATTTCTTAGATTATTTAATATTTTACTATTTAATATTTAACATGTAATATTGTAAAATTAGTTTATATATTAATATTTATGACACATAAAATTGCATTATTTTGTCCATAGCACCTCACGATGATAAATCTCCTTAACCACAAAGACATAATGTTTTCCCCATAATTTCATTTTTTGAACACATTGATTTATGTTTTCCTCCTAGATTTTCTTGTAAGAAGGCCTGATTTGGATACTTCCTAGAATGTACATGAAGGAAGACTTGATCATATGTTGGATCTAAAGATTCAAAGAATGGGAGTCATGCCTCAAAGTAGATATTTTGATAAATGTGAAGAAGTGAGATTCAATGAAGATGATAAAAAATGAAAGAAGTTACCCAAAGTGTGCAGATATAAAAAAAAAAAAAAAAAAAAAAAAAAACATAAGCCAAAAAAAAAAAAAAAAAACCCACAAAAATAGGCAATAAAGGCTACTACAAAATAGTAGAAGGATCAATTCAGCAAGAAGGTAAAACAACTGTAAACATAAATGCACCTGGCACAGGAGCACCAGTTACTAACGGAAGTGTCATTCAAGCCAAAGACAGAGATAGGCCCCAAGACAATACCAGATGGGACTTCGACACCCCCTTCAGCAATAGACACATCCTCTAGGCAGAAAGTCAACAAAGATATATCAGACTTTAAACTCCAATATAGACCAAATGGACCTCACAGATAAGTAAAGGAAATTTCATCAACCAACTGTGGATACACATTCTCCTCATCCGCTCAGAAAACATTCTCCAGGAGAGACAACACTAGGCACAAAACAAATCTCAAAAAGTTTTTTAAAAATGGAAATCAAGGCCAGGTATGGTGGCTTATGCCTGCAGTCCCAACACTTTGGGAAACTGAGGTGGGTGGATCACATGAGGTCAGGAGATCAAGACCAGCCTGGCCAACATGGTGAAATCCTGTCTATACTAAAAGTAAAAAATTAGCCGGATGTGGTGGTACACTCCTGTAATCATAGCTACTTGGGAGGCTGAGGCATGAGAATGGCTCAAACCTGGGAAGCAGAGGTTGCAGTGAGCCCAGATTGCTCCAATAAACTCCAGCCTAGGGGTGAAAGAGTGAAATCCTGTCTCAAAAGAAAAAAAATAGGCCGGGTGCAGTTGCTCACGCTTATAATCCCAGCACTTAGGGAGGTCAAGGCAGGTGGATCAATTGAGGTCAGCTGTTCAAGACCAGCCTGACCAATATGATGAAACCCCATCTCTACTAAATATACAAAAAACTAGCTGGGTGTGGTGGAGGGTGCCTGGAATCCCAGCTACTAGGGAAGCTGAGTCTGGAGAATTGCTTGAACCTAGAAGGTGGAGTTTGCAGTGAGCTGAGATCCTGCCACTGCACTCCAGCCTGCTTGGGCGACAGAACCACACTCCATCTCAAAAACAAAACAAAACCAAACCAACCAACCAACCAAACAAAAAAACTACATTAAGTACTTTTTTTTTTTTTTTTTTTGAGATGGAGTTTCGCTCTTGTTACCCAGGCTGGAGTGCAATGGCGCGATCTCGGCTCACCGCAACCTCCGCCTCCTGGGTTC